ATTAAGCACAACTAGATTTTAGATAAATAGTGTAAAATTATGAATAAACTTTTTCATTTCCTTATCATGATAATAAACTCAACTAATGGTACCACAGACTCTATAAGTCCTTCTACTGAAGAACAATGAAAAAAAAAGACTTTGTCATCATACGAGGAACTGAACAACCAATATTATTTCCAAAAATGGGATTTCATGACTCCACCATCAATTCTAATATTTTATTATGTTAAACTAGACAACTTAAGTTTTCCAACAAGGTATAACATTAACCATTTGGTTAAGTATAGCAGAGTTACGCAACTCACAAGACAACTGCTTCAAATACGACTTTTGGAAGTAGAGCAGCAACTTTAAAATAGGACCAGGATTTATCCACTTATCACAAGGTCCTAAGATTTTACAGGGTTATAGATCATTGAGTTAGCTTTACATAGGTCTAAACATTACTCTTCTTTAACTCAAGATATGTGTGTTTTATTACGCTTATGCTGAAAACCTATACGTTAATGCTGGAGGCGCTACCATAGTGCTGGAGCCGCCGTGATATGTTCCCCACTGCTTCTTGGCACTGGAAGCGTCATGACTCGATTCTTTTTTGTTTCTTGGCGCTAAAAGTACCATGAAACAGAGGATATTTCAAAATTATAAGTTTAAAACTTCTCAATCGAGTCTTAGACCACTTTCTAAGAGTATAACTCTAATTTTATACCTAATAAATGATGTGCCTCTGGCAAATGTAGTTTTCCAAGCTAAAAATGAAAAGGATTAAGTCATAAAAGAGCAGTTTATATACATATTTGCTTATTATATTGACTTTTCCATTTCAATGATATTTCTCACCTATTTGTCATGTTTATATAGGGAGAAAGAAGGAGAAAACAAAATTTTTAAAGACGGTTGGCGCGAATCTGCATAAGAATTGGTCCTGAGCTGCATCAGATTTTTCTGGGCCATTCTCCAGAGGAATGGCGCAACTTGGCGCCATAGTGGCGCGATTTGGCGCCAGATGGGTTGCTAGGCCATCTTCCAGGGATGTGGCGCGGTTCTACGCCACAGTGGCGCGATCCCGCGCCAGTTTGCGAGAAAAACACCATGTTCTGAAAGGGGCAAATTTGGAAGAAACGAATGAGGGATATAAAAAGCAAGCTACGAGAGTTTATTGGAAAATATTTCGACGACAGAGAAGAAAACAAGGATTTCATAAGGAGGAGAGGAACGAAGGATTGTTCTTAGTCTTCTTTTTGTAATTACATTCTTTCATCTTTATCTTCATTAATTTTATGTCAGCCATGATCATGGTTGGCTAGTACTCTTTATTGTAGTTAGGGTCACAATCCTTATGTGAACCCTTGTTACAGCAGATTGATTTATTTTTACTCATTTATATATTTACATTTATCTCTACTCTGTGCGTAATTTCTATCCTCTTTGTTAGAACTGATCAATCTAATAGTTGATGATAGTTTGAGGGTTAGAACCCTAGATAGGAATATTGGGGTTTTGATCTTGAAAAGGAAGCGGATAACAATTTGTATGCGTGCTAGGAATAGACGTATATTTGATTGCAGATGCTTAATTTATCGTGTTCATTGCTTAATTCCATGAGGAACATTGCAAGGAATTGGGGTTGAAGGGTTAACCTTGCAAGGAATTGAGAGTTAACTACGTAATATTTTTAGATGATAAATTATCTGAGTATTTATTTAAATGAGTATTTTAAATCAATCCAGAGTAAGAAGCGGGGATCATTTGGTGAGTGTACTCTAGCTACAATGCTTTCTCATATTTTATAAAACCAATCTCTGTTTTATTTTTCATAACAAAAACCCTAAAAATACGTTCTTGCCTTTAGTTCTTATTTTTAATCAAATCAACAACATTTTTCACACCTATTCGAATTCTTTCCGTCTTAAAAGGAACGATTATTTGATATTCGATCACAATCCCTGTAATGACGATACTTTTCTTATCACTGTATTACTTGTGCGATCGGTACACTTGCCGGTGAGCATCAATAAACCATGACAATCAATTATAACTAACAATTCCTCATCATAATCAAGCATCAATATACACATTTCATTCATGAATCCAATATCCTTGACATCAAGCCATTAACTTATGGCAATATGCTCCTTACATGAATGTTATCCAAAAATAATACATCAAAATGTATACCTACATACATATCTCTTCCCATATCTTATGGTACCAAAGATTACAAAATATGGTATACTATCCCTTCAAATTACATACACGTTCACCTTGACATTAATATCACCAAAAATCAAGCCTATCTCATACTTGGCTCTCTTTTTGACACATACACACATATGACCAATTATACAACTCCTCACACAAATATCCAAATGTTCTTCTCCAAAAGGATAGTCCTAACATGTTTCTATATAAAAAAAGGCCAAGTCAGAAGACAAGGGCTATCATACCCTAAATCGACTTCTTGCCATGGGAAGTCCTGATTCCTTCGCTTGAGGTACCTGAAATATAATTCCTCACACGGGATGAGAAAATGATCTCAATAAACTAAGGGTCCTTGGAGACTCCTTCTCCCTTAAGTTCACTTCCATGATGCACAGGTATTAAGGGTTTTTCCTTTCAGGTTTTAACCACAAGGAATTTCTTCACAAACTAGTTCCAAGGGAAGTCTATTTATACATATTCTCATGGCCAGGGAACATGCATTCATAAAAAAAGTATATTTTCTCCTATCATGCATTATTCCATATTCTAATACAAAATGCACATCAATTCACATAAATCATTACTCCAAGGAATATAGTGGAACAACAAGAGGGATAAATTCCAAGTTCCAAGAGTTTACCTTTGGTGATTACTTCCAAGCTTTTCCTTTAAGGATTCCAAGGCCAAACATCAATTCACCAACAAATTGCCTATTGTGAATAACCATTCCAACAAACAACGCATACCACATATCTATTCATCAAAACCTTACTCAAATACCAATATACCAAGGTGAAACACTTACCCCCCCCCCCCAAAAAAAAAATTTCTTTAAGGTTCAACAATTAAGTCCTTTCTCAAAGAGAGTTCGTATGGTGATTCCAACTCAATATCACCACTAGAATCAATACTCCTACACATAATAACAAGGATTCAAGTGTTAATTTGCATACCCATGCTTTAAATACAAAAACCCTAATTTCTCTATAAAACTCTAACCTCTAGTATCCATGAAAATTCACAAAACCTCAAACTAAACTATAGAAACTTACCTCCAATGCTTCTACAACTAGAAGAAGCCAAGACCCCAAGCACCAAAGTGGAGAAACTCCATCTTTTTCTTACTTGAAGGTGGCACCCCAAACACAAGGAAGCAGGGGGAGGGTTTTTCTTGCTCCAGATACGGGTTTCTCTCCAAGAAGGGATGAATGAGGTGAAGATTATGTTTGTTCCCTTTCCTTTTCTCTTGGTCGATGGAGTGAGGTGTAAAGAAATGAAAATGGTGGAGTTTTGAGGGAGAGAGAGATCGTGAGATGAGAGTGAGAGTGATGGAGTGAGGAGATAGAAGAGTAAATGGGATTTAAAATATCTCTTATGTGCAAATACACTTTTACCCCTAACTCCCTTCTTTTTTCACAATACACCCTTGATTTATTAATTCAAAATTTTAGTGAGTTGGGTCCCGATGGTGCATCACATATTTATTTTAAGTCTCACCTACTTTGCATAATTTTCACTTTCAATCCAACATTTTTATTATTTGCACTTTTACCCCGAAAAGTGACTTAGCTCTGAATTAGTCTTTTCATGTAATTAACCCTTAATTACACATTATTCTCTAATTAATAAAATTAATTATTCGGGTTATTATAATTTGTACCCTTATTTATAACCAATTTGTTATCATTGGATCAAAATCAAATCAACGGTTATAAAATGACATCAAGTGAGAGTCAATGATTTGATTTTGATTCAACAGTAACGTACGAGGTGGTAAGAAAAAAGTTTGTAAGTATTACCTATCTCGTTGTTATAATATAAATTCTTTAAGGGAGAATCAAAGTGACTCTTTGTAATTTGAATTTCGAGTTTATAACTAGGTTTCATGTTTTGTTGCTTTTAAGATAATTTTTTTAATTAATGATTATTTTTTTCGTATTTGTGTTGCTACTCTTTTATGTTATTTTAGTTTGAATATTGATAATTAAGAGTTTTTTAATTGTTGTATGCGTTTTATTTTATTTTTTGTTTTAAAAATATTAAAAAAATCCCAAAAATGAGAAAAACAAAATTTGAAAAATAAAAAATGTCATTTTAGCTTTTTTATTATTTAAATCAACTAACTTATGCTTATTTTCTAAAACATTACTTGATTTTGATTTCCATTCAGATAAGCAAACTAAATATTAATTTTTTTTCAACTTTTACCTTTCATTTTTTTATCTTTATTGTTTTGTGAGGTAAATTAAATATGTTTATGTTTATTTAACTCATAGCATTGACTTTACATAACTATCTAAAAATAGACAAGAGTGTTGTTTTGAGTCAATGGCCACATATTCTGCAGGGTTCGAGAATCTTAATTGGAGATGGGAGGAAAACAAAAATTTGGCTGGATAAATAGGTCCCTCAGGTGGAGAATATGTTGTCTGTTGCTACGGGCCCTGTGCAGGAAGCTATGTCAAACTCCTGTGTTAACAGTTACGTGAACCCCCAAGACTACTGGAGATGGGACCTATTTCAACACTTGCTTCCTATCCAAGTGATCAACCTCATTGCTGGGTTGACTCCCCCCTCTTCCAGAAGATGGGGAGGATAAAGTTATTTGGAGTGCTTCTAATGATGGAAATTTTTCAGTGAGGTCTGCTTATTATTACTTATCCCCTTCGTATCAACCGAACAATCAGTTGTGGAATCTCGCCTGGAAGTGGCATGGTCCCCACAAAATTCAACTCTTCCTTTGGCTTCTCTTGCATGACAAGCTCCTCACTAACGACTAGAGGGTTCGTAGAAGGATGTGTGATTCTGCTGCTTGCTTTCCTTGTGGTCACCCTTTGGAAGATATAATCCATGTGCTAAGAGATTGTGTTTGGGCTAAAAAAGTGTGGAAGAAGATTGTTCCCAGCGAAATCCAATCTAGCTTCTTCATGCTTCCTTTCGATAATTGGGTGGGGTTGCACCTGAATAACAAAAGTGGTTGCACCATAGGGGAGGATACTAGACTCTGGTTCAACATTACTTGTTGGTGCATATGGAAGGACCGTAACAGCTTCATCTTCAATGACACAGCCCCTAATCCTCTCAGCACCTTTTTTCCAGATCAAATCTATAGTGGATAGTATTTTCCTTGCGGATAGGCTTCTCGTTACAGCGAGTATTATTCCTAGAAGCCGAACTGAGTGTCTCATTAGCTGGAAATTTCCCTTGTCTGGGTGGATCAAAGTTAACACCGACAGTAGTTGCTCTCCTGATGGAGAAAGATCTTCCTGTGGTGGTGTTTTGAGGGATTCAAGTGGAAATTGGCTTGTGGGATTTAGAAAATTCACAGGTCATGGGAATGCCCTACTTGCTGAGTTGAAAGGGATATTACTGGGGTTAGAAGTTGCTTAGAACTATGACTACAGGAAGGTCTGGTTGGAGACTGACTCTACTATGGCAGTCAACCTTGCTAAGGATGGTTCTTCTAAGAATCAACATTTCTTCTCCCTAGTCAACAAAATTCAAGCATTGCTGAGGAAAGATTGGCTTGTTAAGGGAATGTTCTTGCAGATTGACTGGCTTCTAGTGCCCAAGATCATGCTTGGGAGTTGGAAACTCTTACTAGTCCTCCATTGGAGTGTAAGGACCTGCTATTACCTGCTATTGAGGGACCAAATGGGGATCACTATACCCAGAATGGTTTGTATTTAGTTTTTTGTTTGTGTTTTCCTTCCCTGTATTTCCAACAACAACAAAAAAGTGTTCTAATTGTAAGATTATGTTTTCACCCTTCTATGTATATTTACAAGTGACTTCCAAACCAAATTGATTTTCGCAAACTAATATTAACATTGTTTTTAAAATTTCCAACTTTTTTCTAACTAAATAAAGTTAGTGACAATTTTGAGATGTTTGAAGCTAGAGAAATGGAAATCAGGAGGTGGTCTTTGACAAAAGAAGACATTTTGTTTTATAAATTGGAGATGCAAGGAAGGAAATGAATGTCTTGATGAAAGGATCTTCAATATAAATCATTTTTCCACTGGTTCACCAATAAAATAAAATAAATCATTTTTCCATTGGATCTTCTACTGGCCTTTCTTCTCATACAATGTGAATCAAAATTATTCTTCTAAAAAACTAAAAGCATAAAAAAACAAGTGGATAACTCTACCAAGCAAGGACCCCAATTGAGCCAAACCAGGATGCCAAAGGCACTGTCATAAAATTGAACCATTAAGGAAAAAAAATAAAAAAAGGACATGTATAAACAGCATTTGGATCTCTCCTACCACAAGCAGCTGCAGGAAAATAAGATTTTACATCCAAAACTCTGAAAGAAGAGGGGGTGGGGGGCTTCTTTTGTTACAAAGGTAAATAGGCAAGCACAACAGCGAATGAAGTTAGTCATGTGACTTTCTTGCTGCCACAAAACAGTGCCTCCCATGATACTGGGCAATATAAATCTGTCTTTTAAGACTGTACACACCTAATGGCTTAGAGAAAACCCTACACATTTTTTTACCATTTGTCAACGATACTTAATCCAGTGAGGAACTAGTTTCAGCAGTTTCATCTTCACTAAAGCTAGATGGCATCTCTGCAGCAGATCTACAAGATTATACATGATGGTGTTAGCAAGGAGTTCGATATCCAATAACAATTTGGATGAAAACTTTAAAAACTGTAAAATCAACCTGTTATGCCCATACACTATAAATATATTCTGTTCTTCAGTAAAGAGAGAGGAATGAAGCTAAGGAACTAATTATATCAATAAAGATAACACTTTCTGCTTAGTTTTTTTTTTTTTTTTCACCATTAGTAAACAATTTAAAATTGCAAGAGTTCTCCAACAATCATTTCTGTTCACTGACTTTGTCATTATTACTGTTTGGCAGATGTGCAACAGATGAACCCTTCTTATTCTACTTTCATGAGGTAAGCAAAGTTCATCTAAAAACATTAAATTGTGAATATAAATGTTACTAAGTAATCTACTATTCTACTTAGAAAGTAACAGCCAAATTAACCCTAAATAAAAAAGAAACTCGGGCGCAGACATGCACATAAGCTCACAGAATTTTGAGAGGACCTGGGGAAGCAAGTAGTCATAAAAAGATAAAATCAAACAGGTATAAATGGATACCTCTGATTTTTCCTTGGTTCCTTCTCAGCAACGAGTGCTTGTTTAACATCATATTCTTGAGGTAGATCAACTTTAGCTCGTTTTGCAACCTATGATGTCAATGAAAAAAGGGATAAGGATACATAGCAAAGCAAAACACCTTTTGCATAAGAACAGAAAATCGAATAATCAAAGACAGTCGTAGGTAAGTTTATGCATCTAAAACTCACCATTTCATTTGAAAGCATCATTACCCTATCTGAATCATGATATAGTTTTTTTACCTTTCTATCCCCATTAAACTTCTCTTCCTGAAAAAATGCAACCAAATAGGCATTTTAAGTCAAATTTGTAAACATAAGAAATTGATGAATACATGCACAAGACACAAAGGGCAAATATATTAGAGGACCTTTGCCATCCTTTTAGAAAGCCCTCTTTCTTCAATATCCTCAGATTTTCGAGAATTATGTATTGAATTTGAAGGCTTAGATTTTACATATTCACTCCTTTGCACATTCTTCAGATTGAAGTTATCGTAGCCATGTAGCATTGAATCTGTCTGCTTAACCACAAGGTTATTCTCTTCATAGTTATCACTAGGGTTTGAAGCAGAATCAGATCTCATCCCCTCAACACCAAGCTTAGTGCCCTTCCTATGATTCTTAGTGCTATTATAAGCAGATGCTTCCCCAGTAGAGTCTACATACAAATCCAGGGAAGAGCTCCTGCCAGGCAAAGGATTTGTACAACTGTGAAAAGTTGGTCTTTGTTTTATATGTCGGCCGGCTTTCTTATCATGCTTATCCCGGAAATCAGAATCATGCAAGGAGCCAAAGTCACCTCCTTCCATATGTGAATCTTGGGAATTCAATTTGGTAAAATATGGATCATATCTCTGCAAACACACAAAGAAAATAAAGTGAGGCTAGGGATTAACTATTAAGCACCAATTTTTAAAAAACTAACATTCATCATAAGCTTGTGATGAAAAAAATCAGCTAACTGCCCAATTTGTTAAACAAGTATCATATAATTTAAAAAGCTCATGTTCTACTATGATGATAAAAGAGAAAAAAAAAGAAAAAATATGCATTAAAAAGTTCAACTTACGGAGTTAAGACTGGATTGCCTTTTCACAGCAGAGACTTCTGGAGAATTTGGAAGAGCAGGATTTGGAACATAGTATGGTTCTGCCAAAATTCATCAGTTTAGACAGGTAAGAATCTCAATCTATTCTCAAAATGACTAGATGCAATCAGAGATTAGATCTAAAGTTAAATGAATCAACAGAATAAGGAAAATAAACCCTCTTGTCTACACTAAGATGAAATCTTTCTAGTAAAACATTTAAAGATCATCATAACCTAAAGAAGCAAAAAAGCGTAGTGCACAAAAAAGAGCATGCAAAAGCCATGAGCAGTTCTTAGAAGAAAGCATCCATCTCCACGAACAAGTTTCCAACTCATAAAAACTGATGAATAATGACATAAAGCTTACTATTTGAATCTGTGTAACTAGCGAATCTGATTTCATACAAGACCTAATGAGAACAACAATCTTCTGGCAAATATTGATGATTATTGTAGACCAAAGATCTCCGGATCCAATTAATTGTCATTGACCCTGCTAGCATTCATATTAAGAAACACTACTCAAATTCCTCAATCCCACCTAAATCATCCCAATGCATAGCAAATGCTTGTTCCAAAACATTTTATTTGCTATTTATATAAATAATTCAACCCCTCTCACGCCAAATATCTTTTTCACTACATGATGTGTGCAACAATATTCCTATAACCCAAAGAAGCAACTGTATTGTTTCAACAAAAAAACCATTTTAGTCTTGCAAAACAAATTGAATCAGACATGGAGAAATGGGAGAATTGAATGCATATAGTACAACCTACCATCAACGGGATCTGCATTTTGACATTCAAATGCCCCTGGAGGAATTGTATCAAAATCGACACTAAGTAGTGGACCATCTTCCAGATAATGCCTTCCTAATTGCTTCTTAACAGCAGTTATAGCAGCATTTTCTATCTCTCCCTTCACTTTCAAATATCCAGATGGTTTATATCCCATGTTAATTGCACCCTTGGGATTTCGGGGTGGAAGAGCTCCGTTAGGTGTTAAATATCTAGAATCCTCCATATCATATGGATCCTGGCCTTGAGGAAACAACCGTTCTTGCAAAGATGAGCTACTCTCAGATGATGTATTATCTGTTGCACTATCATTTTCTGTATAATGGTTCCTATGTGCATAGGTCATATCAGCAGCTGAAAAGTCATGGTTATAGAGGCCATGACTCTCAACCTCTTTGGGATCCATATACCTATAATCACCGTGTTTGGTGCTTCCACATGAATCCTGCCCTAGCCCACTGCCACGATCATGGATGACACCACTTGAACGATCTTGTCGTCCATTAGCATGTACTTCATTTTTCAACAATTTTTTATCTTTTAACCTTCTGTGGCAAAACCATCCAGATATTTGCTTTTCTGTCAACGCTAATTCATCTGCAAGTTCTAATTTCATTTCCTCTGTAGGATATTTGTACTCTGGAAACAAATGGGAAAAAGAAATTCCTTAAGAATTAGCACTTAGCAAGACAAATTAACATCTATAAGACAAAAGAAGTACTCCTACCATCATAAAATTTTTCCAAGGCCATAACCTGGGCAGGAGTTTTGAGCCTTCTTTTCTTGTTTTTCTCCATAGAGTCTTTATTGTCTTCTGAATGCAACTCATTTGATTCTGAACACCAAAAGAAAAGCAGAAGTTAAATACATGTTTTATAATGAGAATAAAAAAATAGTATGCAATAAGAAACATCAATAAGAAAAAATTTAATGCCATATCAGCCAATTCAATTGATCACATATGTTACGAAACCAGACACATGGTATCATGGTTAACAGTGATGACAATATGAAAAAGGATGGATGCATGAACAATTTAAGACAAGTTGATATTCTGAAATTTTCGTAAGAGCCAGAAAGCTGCTTTCTTCAAATCTTGATGCAGAAAGATACTTGTTTTGATCAAATATTAATAAGAAAATGATTTCACAACAAAAAGATGTTTAAAAGGCGCTTGCATAACCGGGGACCTGCTTTGATGATATAGATCCTCCACTAATAATTTAAAGAGGTTAAGAGGTTGTTACATAAGATCACTAGGAACATATAGCTAATGAATTTCATTTCTAGCTGCCAAAAAAAATTCCTTTCTGCTGTATAAACACATAACAGGGTCAAATCCTTGTTAACAAAAACATTTTAAAAACAAAAGTATATGCTATACAAGTTAATCTACACGCCTCATATTTATATATATACAACAAAATTTTTGATTTGAAGAAAATTAAAAAGACAACAACTTCAACCCCCCAAAAACAAAGTCCCGAAATTACCAATATTTTGCAAAAGCACATGGGATGCAACACAGAAAGTAGATCCAAGCGTAGGCATGATTTTATGACATTGACAAAGCAAACAAAAACCGTTCAAATTGGGGTCATAACAAAAAGTTTAAGAAAGCTAAATATCTGAACAAATCAAATATTAAATTTCAAATTATGACTAAATTTCAACCAAATCCCAATTTTCCTTCACTTTGACTAACTTTCCCAGAACCCAGAGACCCCAAATTCAAGACCTTGGTGCCATATTCACCATTACAACAAACTCCCCCAAAATACAACCAATTCATATCCTGGACCTGGATTCCAACCAAGCCATTCAATGCATGAATTGGAAGCGAACTTAAACAAAAAATAAAATAAGCACCATATGAAAAACCCAAATCTCTGATAACACAATACCTTCCATGGATGTGAGGAATTATGGTGAATCTCCCTCCACTCTTCAAGTTTTGGGGCCAAAGGTGCAAACTTTTTCACTGGCTATTCAGAAAAACGAGACCCTTTTAAGCAAAACCAAAAGAGAACGCAAAATCAACATGTGGGTCTGTGTGTTTCATTCAATTTGACCCCCTAATTCAGCTCAGAGAGAGAGAAAGATCAAGGGACTTCTGGGGAAAGATGAAAGCCAACGGAGAAAGAAGAACAATTCCTTTCTCTGTTCATTTCATTTGCTTCTTGCTCCAAACAACTCTTACATTTTGTTTTTTCCCCTGCAATTGAAAAAGCAAATCAAATTTTGGTTCTTTTTTTTTTTTTTTAATTTACCTCTTTTTTTCTTTTTTTTCCAGAATGATTGAACGTTGAAGAAAAGGAAAGAAATTTATGCAGTGTTGCTTAAAATAATACAAATAAATTATGGAGGACAATAAGCCACTAAACTAATAATAAATAATTTACAGAATTATAAGTTTTTAACTTTCTAATCACCGTTACTAAAATAAATTCTGTTGATAAGGCAGCTTTCTTTTATTAAAAATATATTTCTTCCAATTTTATTTTATTTTGTTAATGTCATTCTTGATCCAAAAGTTTTGTATGTTTTTCACTAATCCTAACGTATATGTTTGGTTTAATGTTGCAATAACTGTCCACAGCTTTTAATAAGTACATTAAGTAAGTTTTAATGTATATTTTAATTGACATTTTATAACTATATACTCGTGCTCTGTGTTTTTAATTAGTATTCATAAATTTATAAAATTTAATAAAATATTATTAATAACGTTATGCACACTACATAAATCCTTCACCGTTAACTCACTTCCTTATGTTAATTTTAATTTCTTCAGTGATATTTTCTTGAGATCCGCCATCACTGTCACTGCCATTCTGAACGATACTACCTTTAATTCGATCATAGCCCTTATTTATGTACATAAATGAATATTCCATTGTGCATGCTCCGCTTGATATTAATATAGGCTTGCTTTTTCATTAGAAGTTTTGGATGGTAAAGAATCATATGATGGTTGTCAAGAATAATATTATGTTCCTACTTGTTCCTCCTTAATGTTTTGATGACCTATCATTATCTATGAGTGTTTTTCCATATCTCGAAGAATGATTTTTAATAATTGCAGAGGGATCAAGAGCGTGGAAGAATGTGTTTGCCCCATCTATAATAAAATAGGAAGAAATCAAAACCAAAATAGTGATAGAGAAAGCAAGATACAAAAAAAATCCTACTGAGCGTATACTTGCCAATAAGAGAGAGTATTCCCCCTTCGTAAGAAATAAATTTTGTATTTCATCTTTAGTGTGTGTTGTGGAGCCCAGTACTTACCTATGATGCATGGACACGGACACGAGACACGACACGACACGACATCCCGACACGTTAATTCTAAAAAATACTAAATTTCGACACGTTGAAACACGTTTTGATATTAAATAATATTTATAATATATATAATATAGTTTACATTTTTGGGAGGTGGCTAGCTCAGCCGTTCATTAACTTTCTAATATACTAAACATAAATATTATATTTTTATCCCCTAACCAAGGCAAAAGAAATCCCCCACACTATTTTTATTTAAATATATAAACATGAATATTTATTTATACAAGGAGGAATAAAATCTCCATCGTTTCCTTTTATCTTTACCCTCTCCTTTTTCCAAAAAAAGAAAAAAGAAAAATACATATTATTGAGGACTAATTTTTTTAAGATTAATTTACCCTTCTTGCTCGTTACGCTATGCCAATGCTTGGTTAGAAAAAACCCTAAGCCAGAAGTGGCATTAAAATCACTCACTAAAAAGAAAAGGAAAGAAAAAAAAACCTATTCTTCTCATTTTCGAAAAACCCCACACTCAGTTTCTCACAACAACAAAAAATCAACATAGAACAGAACAGAACAGAATGGTTGGTGGTCGATTTCGCGAGTTGTTGAAGAAATACGAAAAAGTAGCATTGGGCGTTCATTGCGGCGTCTCTGCAGTTTCCGTCACTAGTCTCTACGTTGCTATCAGAAACAACGTTGATGTCGAAGCCATCCTCGAGAAGTTCCACATGGGCGTTGTCTCCCAAAGAGAAAACCCCAACCCCAACCCCAACCTTGATCCCTCCGGTGACGATGCCTCCGTACCCGTCAAGAACCGAATGGCTCAGTTTGCCAACGAAAAGGGGCCAACGACGAAGAAGAGGAGTAGCTCTAGCATGAAGACAGCAGAACTTAAGGGTTCTCCATTTATAAACTTTTCAATTTTTATTAAATATTTTTACTTTTTTTTTAAATTGTAATTTTATTTTATTTTTAAAAAAAATGCAAAATTTGTCCCAAAACGTGTCCAAATACGTTGACTGCATGTCGGATTCGGTCAAAGTCGCGTGTCCCTCTAGTCAACGTGTCCCTAAAAGTTGACCGCGTGTCGGAACGTGTCCGTGTCGGACACGTGTCCGACACGCAATTTTCTCCCAAAAACCCGTGTCTGTGCTTCAGAGGTACTTACACCCCGGCCTCTTTGTATGGAAGAATTCGGCTTTCACTAGCCGAGCTTGCGGAAGCATAAGTGAACAAATAATAAATAGAAAATAAAATAAAAATATAAATAATAGAGAACACCAAAGTTTTACTTGAAAAACCTTTTTAATGTGAAAAATAAAATTCAAGAAGCTAATCCAAAAATCTTTCATTATGAATAATTGGATTACAATATTTTGGTTTAGAGACCAAAGGATATCACCCTATAAGAGGATGAGTTAGTCATACGGTTTCAAGATGAGTTAGTAATAAGATTTCTCACACAAGTGTTTTTTCTTTGTAAAAGGATAATGATCCTACTCTATAAGTTTTCTTCCTCCTTCAACAATGATGTTGGGCTTCTTTCTCACAAGATCTCCATCTCTGACTTATGCTTTCTTCTTCTTGTTTCTCTCTCTCCTCACTCTACAGTGGCGACTGCTAAGCATCACTTTTAAACAATATATTAGGGCACCTATCAATTTAGGCGGGGTCCATTTTGGGCCACAAACCTCCGCTACTATGCCTATGAGGGAGGATGTATGGGCTCCTCCTATCGCCATAATGGGCTGGTGTAACACCTCGTGTGCACCCGGTGTATTAAACATACAATGGTAATAGCATAGTTCAATAAATGCGGAAGCTAACTTTTTCTTTTTAATTATGAATCATATTATATAACCCAAGTGGATTTACTTACTCTTTTTCAAAATAACGTATGTATGTAAATTGCAATATAAACTACACTGAATAACCTCATATCATAAATAAGTATCAAGTCACGTAACTACAACACGTAGACCGGACAATATTCTGATATCAAGTACCACTCAAGTCCGAATAAATACAGCTTATACCAATGTGGCATAGACAACCCCCATGCTCACCAAATAAAACAACATAATCAAATTCAAGTCTCAGACCATAAAGCCATATAATAATAGTAAAGCATAATCATATCCAGATATCATAGTAAAGCAGCATGCATAATATCAGCTCAACTCCGGCCTCCTGCCGTCAGAGGTCTCAACCTCAGAGGTACCTGTACCTAAAAATGTGCCCCACATGGGGTGAGATCTCTAAAAAAAATCTCAGTAAGACAATGGGTCCTCCAGGACTCTTCCTCCCCAAGCTCACTTACAAGTATATATATAAGTTCCAAAAGCTAAGTACGATGCATGTTCATGTTAAAGCAGTATAATCATGACAATATATCTGTATGTACAAGAATGCTCAGCAAGTCAAGTACTACGACTCATATCTCATGTGATGTATGCAAGTGCGGTTCAACTGGCTAGGGAACAGGATAGGGTTTACGCACGTCTGCAACCTATCTAAACATAAGGGTCGCAGCCTTATGCCTTACACACCAGGGAACATGCTTGTGTATAACCCTCCTTGGTTGTTGGGGTGTGCAAAAAATCAAATGAATCGAACTAAACCGCAAACTGCACCAAAAGAACCATATTTTTTCAAATTGGTACAGAACCAAATCATTTTTTCAAAACCAGTTCAGTTCAAGAACCAAATCATTTTATCAATTGTGTTCGATTAAGGCTAAAAATCGTAGTATACCCTCTCCCAGGAATGTGAAAAAATCTAATGAACTTAATTGAATCATAAACCAAACCAAATCGCGCCATATTTTTCCAAATTACATTTTAAAACTGAACCATTTTTTGTGAACCTGTTCAAGAACAAAACCACTTTTAAAACCTTTTTGGTTTTCCTAAACCGAATTTCTTTTCCAGCTAGATATACAAAATCAAAATGAACTAAATTGTGCATGCCCCTACTTGGCTGCCACTCTTATTCCTCATTTTTCTTCTTTTTTTTCTTTCTTGCACCAAATATCCATCCTAAAAGACATACTTTCCTCCAACATTGTTCAGCCTAGCAAGCTTTCAAGTGAGGAGTATTTGTAGGGAAGTTCTCCTTTGTTGTCCAAGCAATAGTGTGGACTTACAATTAGGGGTGTTATCTTTTTCTACATCTTCAAGTGATCCAATTATGGTGAAACATAGCAATGAGGCTTCAAAGGTATGACTTTTATAAACCCCCATGTGAATTTTATATCAAGTAGATCCTATGGATGACGCATGATGTTTGTAAAAAGTTTACGTATTTCTCCTTAAACAAGAAAAGTTTTTATTTAACACTGTATAGCACCCTTCCTGTAAGATAAATGACGCTTATTAAGACTTTCATAAGTCACCAAAGAGATGAAAATGAGCTTGATTAAGTTTACAAAATGCAAAGGAAACTCCATTTTGCGCAACACAAATTACAAGTAACATCATTTTACATTGTCATGCAATTTTTTCGTATACTATTTGATATTATTATTTATCACTTAACCTATTAGTAAAGGTTACTCCTGCTTTAGTTTTCTCTAAACTACCTAATAGTGGTATCAACCAATGGTTTAGCTGGCTGAGCATTTGGATATTGTGATTAGTGTTATTGTGTCTTCCACAAGAGGAATGGTTGTCAATCTCACACTTTGGGGGAAGAAATTAAGTTAGAAATTCAAATAAAGTACCACATTGGTTAAGAATGTCCTAAGTAAAGATCATGAGTATAAATATCGATAGAGATCCATGACTAGTTGGTTTAAAATGGGTAAATCTGAGTGGGGTTAGTTAAAGCTAGTTATCTTAGACCAATTCACTTTTAGTAGTGTGTTACCTCGTAGTACTCCGATTGTTAGCGTCATGATATTATAGCGTACGCAGCGGAAGAT